CGTGCCCCCGAGGAGTGGGGGCAGGGATAGCTCCCCGTCCAGCCAGATTGGAGGCATTCACCCTGCTGTGGCTGAGCAACAGATGTCCCTGTCAGTTACCCTCTCCTGTCTCCATTTCATGCTCTGCTGGTAATCAATAGTTAGTATCCAATCAATGAACGACTTTTCTGTTTAGTCAGTTTGATTGTTTCTGGGGTGACATATGCCACCAATTTTGAAAAAAAAATTTATAAATGCTCATTAGGTTCCCAAATGAGCCCACCCCTCTCCCCCCCCCGCCAATCTTAATGACCTACCTAATGTATTTAAAGGATCTCTGGTTCTTTGGCTCCCAAATACTTGCCTCAGCAGAGTTTCAATAGGAAAGTGCCCTCGGAAGCTAAGCCTTGGTTTCTAGGAGTAGAACTGCCATCGCTTGGTTTTTAAGAACTCACCATTCTTGCATCATGAAATGGAAAGGAGCACTTAGATTTCCCCCTGTTTTATCCCTAAAGCTATATATAGAGTTTTGGGGGTTTTCAAAGGATCTTTTTTTTTTTTTAATTGCAATTTATCATGTAGAAACGAGAAGGAAAATGGCTTCTTTTCTTGTCCATCTTTCTGTTTTATTCACTTAGACCAGGAATGACAAAACAGTTTTGCCACATATGCATGTATATCTAAATAGTAAGAGACTCTGTAGGGTGCTAGGTTGAGAAAAGATTTTGTGGTCCCATTAGGGAACCAAGAAAGTATGCTGTGGTTGATTAGTGGTGTCTGCCATGAGCATGGAAGTGGAGGAGAGGTATATCATGTGTCATGTACTTGTCATTCCTGACTCAGATCTTGTTGTGAAAAATAAAGTTCACACATAGAGGATAACTCTAGTCTAGCAGTTAAGAGGTGTTTGCTATGTCCCAGGTACTGTTCTAAGTGCTTTACATATATTAACTAATTTAATTCTTAAAGCAGCCCACAAGGTAGGTACAAATGAAGAAACTCGTACAAATGAAGAAACTGAGGCACAAAGAAGTTAAATGACCAAGCCACATTCCTATAGCTAGGAGGTGGGAGAGCTAAGGTTCAAAGTCAAGGCAGTCTTGCTCTATGGCCCATGTCCTTAGCAGCCGACACTGTGCTATCTCTTCTTGGCTAATGCTCTGTCTTTGCTGTCCAGGAGCTGACTCAGCTGCAGTTCAGAAGAAAATGCAAAATCAAGTTTATAGATCCTGTTATCCTTGGGCCTCGGGCTCTAGAATAAAAGATAAGACAGGGTCCAGGGGAACCTTAGCACTGAGGAAAGAGTGCATATGAACTTCCTCCTTCCTCTCCAGTTCAGGTAGCATTTCTAGTCTTTCCTTCCCCTCTGGCATTGCCACCTTCTCAGATGAGAGGTGAATTGGACGGGAAGAGGGGCAGGCATTTATGGAGAGGAACAGAGAGGAGTTCCTTGGTCTCTGGGCCACCTGGCTGGGGAAACTACTTTTGAGTGGCCATTTTCAGTGATTGTTTTTGCGTCAGGGACATATGTACATATAAAGAGAGAGATGTCTTTAGTGTATCAAATAATATATCTTTCATAATGGCTGAAGAGAGACTTTTTAGTACTGTTTATGTCTTCTGTCATTAATTTTTTTTTTTTAAAGATTTTTTATTTATTTGAGAGAGAGAGAGAGCACATGAGAGGGGGGAGGGTCAGAGGGAGAAGCAGGCTCCCCGCTGAGCCGGGAGCCCGATGTGGGACTCAATCCCGGGACTCCAGGATCATGACCTGAGCCGAAGGCAGTCGCTTAACCAACTGAGCCACCCAGGCGCCCTCTTCTGTCATTAATTTAACAGCTATTTATTGAACACCTATGCATTATCCCTCTTTGGGCTAGAATTATCAAAATGGTGACCCAAAGGAGCTACAAGCCCTGCCCTCCCTGTGCTTATAGTCTGCTTGTCCAGGTAATGACTAAGTGTAAGGTGCAGCTCTGGTGAGCACTGTAGAAGGTCATTGGTTCCAAGAAAGCAACGGTAGTAGAGGGAATGAGGGACAGAGGTGGTCAGACCACATGGGTCCTTGAAAGCCACATTAGAGTTTTGAATTTAGCCTAAGAGCAGTGGGAAGCCATAGAAGGTGGGGGAGGAAATTGGGGAGTTTGTGTCATACAATGAGTTTGTCTTTCTTTTTGAAAGGTAATTGTGACTGCACTGGGAAGAGTGAATTGGAGAGGGGACATAGATGACCTAGAGGCATTTATAGGAGTCCAGGCAAAGAAGCCACAATAGAGGCCACAATGATTTGATGGTGAAGGGAAGAAGTGGAGGGATTTGGATGTCTGGAAGGTAAAACTAGCTAGATTTGGTGATAGATTAGGTGTGGGTTGTGAGGGCTCAAGAATGGGCAAGGATGCCTAGAAAGGATAGGACAACAGTCCTGTTCCCAGAGGTGGGGATGCTGGTAGAGGGCCATGTTTGGAGTGGAAGGTCATCTTTTGAGCTGTCTGAGAGGAGGTGTCAAATAGGCTACACTTTTCATGGTAAATGTGTAGTGTTTCGGCTGGGCTATAAATAAACCTTGATGGATTGTCCTGGGAAATCAAGTACTGTGGGAAAAAATTTCTTAATCCATAATTTTGTTGATTCTGAAAAATCTGAACAAACATATTTTCATTTAGAAAATAAGAATCTAACAATCCCAAAGGAAATTAATAAAGGTAAATATCTTGCATAATCTCCCTAGTTGTTTTCCTTTTTGTATGTTTCTCTCCCAGAGAAACATTTCTCTTTTCCTATAAGCATTCATATTTTAATTAGTTGTCATTATAATCTACATCCGGTGTTGTAATAGGATTGTTTCACTTACCATTATCCCAAATATTTTTTCACATTTTTATATATCTTTCAAATGCTCTATTTAAAATATGTTGTATAATAGTACATGCTTTTGATAAATCATGAATTATAATTTTCTAAGCAACATTAATACTTTTGGATATTCAATTGGTTTTAAAATTTCATTATTATAAGTAATAAATACTGTTATATGTATCACCTTTTTTTTTCCCCTCTTGTATTATTCCTTAGTTTGAATTCTCTGAGTGGGATTAGTGGGTCAAAGATTGAATGGATTTACAACTCTTGATATTTGTAAAGACAAACATTTTTAGAACCACAGGCAGGGGCTGTGGGGTGCTGACTGTAGAACAGAACTGTGACCTCCACGTCAAGACTCATGATGTTTCTTTGGATTCAGCAACCAATGGTTCTAACCCTATTAATGAGTGCTTGACAAGGTCCCATGGCCACCTGGGACCTGGGCTGTTCTCTTCCCTTCCTCCAGGTTTTCTGTTCCTAGGTTAGTGCCAACATCACTGAAGAACCAGTGAGAGCCTCTGAATTGATGGTATCCTGAAGAGGGTGTCCAAACTTGACTAAGCCTCATAAGCCTTCAGGTTCTAAAAGACTTGCAGTGTGCTGGAGAGGCTGCCTGGGATTCCTCTGGGTTTGGGTGGGGTTCTTAAGACTTTCCACGACCTGGTCCGTGCCTACCAATCTGTCCTTCATGGCCACTGCTTCTCAACATATCACCTCTGCTATGCCCAGACTAGACTCTATTCTGGCCCTGGATGATGCCTCGGTCACATCAGACTTGTGGCTCTCATTCAAGTTGCTACCTCACTCTCTGCCTTTCCAAACCCTGCCTCTCCTTCAAGACTCTGTGCTGGTAGCACTTCCTCCAGGCTCTCACTTCCCAGCTTGCTCTTCCTCTGCTGTGAACTCTTGACAGTACCTTTCATCCCCATTCCAGGGCTTGGCACATAATTGTAAGCTTTCTGGTGAAGTTTGACATTTTTACCTCTTGAAGGTAATTGTACTTTCCACGAGGGCAGGAACCGTGTCATCCTCTCACCAGCCCCCAGAGAGCCTGACTGCCGTGCTGAGGCCTTTGCCAGTGCTCCATAAATCGAATGGGACCCAGGGAATCAAAATATATGTGCTGTCTGATGCAGCGCCAAGGTTTTTTTTTTTTTTAAAGATTTTATTTATTTATTTGAGACCGAGAGAATGGGAGAGAGCACATGAGAGGGGGGAGGGTCAGAGGGAGAAGCGGGACTCGATCCCGGGACTCCAGGATCATGACCTGAGCCGAAGGCAGTCGCTTAACCAACTGAGCCACCCAGGCGCCCAGCGCCAAGGTTTTTGAGCCATGCTTATGTATTTTCAACATAAATGCTTATATTCAAGAATTGCTAAGGGTATTATTCAAGTACTCCTAGATGGATCATACTCAGCTATGCTCTATCTGACTGCAGTTTGAGGGATTATGCGAACAAGGTAATGCCGGAAAACCATAATCTGGTCACCTTTTATTTCCAAGTCCTTAATATGTCCAGAGTGGGAAGGGTGTTGGTGGAGGGAACCAGGGTGGATGAAGAGTAGGAAGAAACCCTGGAATATCCATCTGGTACTTAAGAAGGCAAGTGTCTGTGGTTCCTGGAAACAGTATTTGAATTGTAGTGAAATGATGTGTTCTGCTGTTCTGTTTTTTGAAAAATTGGCCCCAGTGTTACCCTGCTGTCCTTGTGGCTCACTTCATTGATGGGGTCAATATTCTGATCATCAGGAGTCTTCCGAGGAAGCCTCCCCAGTTCACCCTGGAACCCCAAGTTTCCCTTCTTCTTCAGGGGCTGGCCTGGTGCTGTGGGGCCCCTCTGGCCAGGAGTCAGGAGCTTTGGGGCTGGGCTGGCTCTGCCCCCACCAGCCATACGGCTCTGCACAAGCTCAAGCCTTGGCACCCTCATTTGTAAAACCATGCGCTTGAACTAGACCATCTCGAGGCTCTTCAGTTACTGAGATTAAAAACAAAATAATTGAAACTCTCTTAAAAGGGTAAGCTTTGGTGCCATTTTTAACTAAAAATGAGAAATAGACTCTTTGACACATTTAATGACATGTGTTAGTATGTGTGTGGAACTTTACACTTAACTTGTATTTCTTTCTTTCCTTCTCTCCCTCTTTTTTTTTTTTTCTAGCCAAACATCATGTCAATGGCAATAGAACAGTTGAACCTTTCCCAGAGGGAACACAGATGGCTGTATTTGGTAAGATATCAACTCTGAAAGAAAACCCAAATTGCGTGCAAAGACTAGTGCCAAATTTCTGAGTTTTAGCAAGTGTCCTCAGGGCTTCAAAATCTGGGCTCTTCTAGATATTTACAAGTCATTGGAGCCAAAAAAACCTATCGAGTTCTTAGTATTTCTGGGATCAGAAAAGCTTATTCTATAGAATTTAATATGCTTTCTTTTCTCACTTTGCAAACCAAATATCAAACTGTGTATTTGCTATTTCTTTCGTCCACACTGTGAATTAACCTGATAATTTACAGTTTGAGTTTTTCTTCCCTAGAAGGGTTCCCCCCCTCCACACGGATATGTAATTTTGTCAAAGGCTGGGGTTCAAGGAGTTTTGAGTTGTTATTCCACAAAAATCAATCTAATCGAATAATCTTTCTCTTCCATTATGAATTCAGCATATTCCTTAGAAAAAAATCGGTTAAAATGTCTTAAACAGAATAAAATTTAATCTCTGAGCATATATTTACAATATACAATTATGTGGTTGAGCAGAACTTCTCTGTTAGATTCCAAACCTTTCGGTGACAAGGTCCTTTTTAATTCATGGCTCCTGACCTCCATATTTAATGTCACCTAAACTTCCTTCAAAATGTCTCTACACCTGGCACTTTCTTTGCCTGCCTTCTACCCCTTCTCTCTCCCTTCCCCTCCTCTTTCCCTTTTCTTCCAGCTTCCTCTTCCTTTTAGCCCCCCTCTCCCCCTTCCTTCTAGCAAGGCCCTGGGGCCCCCAGGGCCCATCCTTCATCAATCTCTCTGTCCTCTGGATTTTCATTTTCTCGTAGCTTTTGGATCCTTCCCCTCAGCCTTTAGAAGGGTTTTATGATCTGTCCCATTCTAAAACCCTGAAATCCACCTGACTTTATGCCATCCTCTAGCTTCCTTTCTACCCTGATCTTGATGATGGTCTCCTACAAGGGCTTTTGATGTAAAACTGCTTTAAGCATGGAGGTGTCTTTGAGATGGAAATTAGCCTCAGGATGACCCATCTCTAAATTAGCCTATTCAGGATAAAGCATTAATTTATTCACAGAGATGGAACCAGAATTAGTAATCAATGATGATTAACAGTTGCGGAGTTATGAAACAGGGAGCTAATTCTGCCTGGGTGTTTGTAAATCTTGCTCTGTATGGGCTATCACCTTTTAAAATACAGTGATCAGTGGTTAGAAATTATTATGCTCAGAAATGTAAATGGAGAATTTGATTTTTGTAGCAAAAAGCATAATGGACAATCTAAAAATGTGTGCAAAATATTTGATTTGTTAACTCTCCTCTGAGGACTTACGTTCAATGATGCTGTTTTACTGGCATTGTGGGTTTAGGACTGTTCCCAGGGGACAGCAGATGTCACATTGGTCCTCAAAGGGTTACTTTGATGATTCTTTTTTTTTTTTTTGTCTTTCAGATTTTTCATCCCCAGACATGTTAGAAACTCAGTTCCCTCTCTTGTTGGGAAATATAAAATGAGACTGCCCCATCTTAGCAGGTTTCCCTCTGTTGTGCTATTGGAGGAAAGCTTCCTTCCCAAAGGACAGACTGAGCACCAGGCAGGCAATGATGCCAGAGAATCGGAAATATCAGTGAATAAAGCTCCGTGATGAGATTATTGTTATTATTTGTCACGGTTTTGGTTTATAGTGGCTTTCCTAAAAGTCCTAACCCATGGCCTTCATCGTTTGGCTTTGGACTAGCATGTTCCTCTCTCCAAGCTTTGGTTTTGTCACCTGTAGAACCAGAGGGCTGACAGAGTGCTCTGAGACCTGTTCCCTTTGCTTCGGCATCTCATATATTCAAGACCTAATGCTCATCTGGTGGCAGGCAGTCCCCTGGAAACCCACTATGAATGGCCAAGGTGTGTGGCTTTTAAAAGAGGAGGATTGTGTACAATTTCTACAAGTGCAGAGTTACACTGATCGTAAAAATAGAATATCTTTGGACATCTAAGAATTTTTACATTATGAGAACTGCGGTTTGGCTCTTACACATGCTTAAATTAAGGCCCCTATTTGGGTTAAGTATGTGCCAGAATTTTATATTAATGTTTTAAAAACTGGTCTCATTTTATATTGTCCTCCTGGCCTGCAGTGGAGAGAGGCAGCAGATGGTTTTGGGGGTGGCCTTCTCTCATTCCAGGTTGTTTATAGCTCGAGTGAAAAGGTTAAACCAAGCATATAGCACTTGGCTCTTTGACGTATGTTGGACATCTAATCCTCCTGGCACCTCGAGAGGCTGGTAGGAGCATGTAATCCTCTTCTCAGAGAGCTCCTGTGACTTACCCGAAGCCACTCAGCCAGTGATATGGTGGAGGGAGAATTTGAATCCAGGTCTAACTGACCCTGAAGCCCACAGTCTTTTTATGATGTCACCTGACTTTTAGCCCTGGTTGAAGGAGCCATGGGGCAAGTCTGGTAGATGCAGAAATGCCTTTTGGCTGGATCCATGCACGAAAGCATGCTTTCCAGCCAAGTCAATTTAGCAAACTGATTTGTGAATTTCTATGTATTCCCAGAGTGCTCTGAAGGACTCTTAAGATACAGCTTTTGCTGGGAAAATACTATTGGAATGACATCTCCTACTATTTATTGTTTTTACCCATTTGATGTTAGTAGCATAAATTAATGTACAGGAGAATGTCTTACACCTGCTTGACTTTGAGTTCACCAAAGCACCAATGGCATGTTCTACTTGTCCCAACTCATTCTTCAGCCTTCTAAGTCTTAATGTCTTATGACCAAATAGTATTACCAGTTTCAATTTTATTATCTATTGGTTAGTCATTTGAATGTACTTTGCAGAATGCTGTCTACATAGGAACTTTTAAATTTAATCCACTTCTAAAGTGGTCATTGAACTGCCATTAGGCATTGACAGTGGATAATGTAAGGAAGTGGAGTGTGAGGACAGGGCACACTCCACTGTGAAAAACACATGAGTGCGTCATTCTATCAAGTAACCAAAGAATAGATAGGTGGTTCCTTCATTTCTGGTATATAATCTTCACAGATTATTATTATTATTTTTATTTTTTTAAACTTTAAAAAAAAAATTTTTTTTTTTTTTTAAGATTTTATTTGCGAGAGAGAGAATGAGAGACAGAGAGCATGAGAGGGAGGAGGGTCAGAGGGAGAAGCAGACTCCCTGCTGAGCAGGGAGCCTGTTGTGGGACTCGATCCTGGGACTTCAGAATCATGACCCGAGCCAAAGGCAGTTGCTTAACCAACTGAGCCACCCAGGCACCCTTCACAGATTATTTTTAAGCTAAGATGTTCATTTTTTCAGATTTTCTTTCATGGCCCATTTGTTAGTCCTTGTCTTGTTTTTGTGTGGCCACAGTTCCTAAGCTTCTTTGTTGCTCTTTCTGTCCTCTGCACTTTAGGACAATGATGATGAAGGTAATAGGCTCTGCTCACCCAGTGGGCTTCTCCTCGTCTGTGTATGATGCTCTCTTTCAAGTCAGTGGGAGCCCTTTTTCCACAAGCTGGAGGAGCAGAACCAAACATTTTGCAATTACTTAATGTCTTTGTTCCTGGTGGCTGAGAGTGCCCTATGGCTATCATCCCTTTAATCCCACAACAGCCCTGTGAAGTGGGCATTATTGTGCTCTGTTAGAGACAGAGAAACTGAGGCACCCAAAGATGAAAGAAGTCTGGTCAAGTGGTGGTAATGCTTTCTCAGGCATGAGGACATCCACATTACATTTGCCAGCATGCTGTGCCTGCCTTAGAAAGGTTCTCTCCGGCTCTCAATAACTTAATGAAAATAACATCCCCTTGGCAGTGAGCCACTCCATCCACGCAGAGAGCACAGGCTCCAACCTCTCCGTGGTGTTTTTTTTTTTTTTTTTTTTAAAGATTTTATTTATTTATTTGACACAGAGAGAAAGAGACAGCGAGAGAGGGAACACAAACGGGAGTGGGAGAGGGAGAAGCAGGCTTCCCTTGGAGCAGGGAGCCTGATGTGGGGCTCGATCCCAGGACCCTGAGATCATGACCTGAGCTGAAGGCAGATGCTTAACAACTGAGCCACCCAGGCACCCTGTGGTGGTTGTTTTTAAACCCAGAACAACTTTTTTCATCTTATTAAAAATACTCCATAGTCAAGAAGATTTCTCATTTCAAAATAAAATAAATTTTTTTTTTCAAAAAAAATAAAAAATAAAAAAAATTGAGGAAAATACAGAGAAGTTGGGTGTAGGGAAGATTTGTGAATTTGGGAAGATTTTTAGTACAATTTTTTTAAATAAATGAAATACAGTTTTTGGGATGCCTGGGTGGCTTGGTTGGTTAAGCATCTGCCCTCAGCTCAGGTCATGATCCCTGGGTCCTGGGATCTAGCCCCACGTCGGGCTCCTTCCTCAGCGGGGAGTCTGCTTCTCCCTCTCCCTCTGCCTGCCACTCCCCCTGCTTATGCTCTCCCTCTCTCTATCTCTGTCAAATAAATAAATAAAATCTTTAAAAAAAATAGTGAACATAGATATATTAAATGAAGTAAACAAATGAAAAAAATTACAATGTGGTAGACTAGACTTACATTATATATAATATAGTATCAACACCAGTAGCTCTACTAACTTGCAAGATTTTCCTCAATAAATATTGTTATATTCTTTCTGAATGACTTGAAATTAAAAGTTAATTCAAATTTATAAAACCTGGCTCATAGCTCTTTAGTAAGAGATGGATTATTGATCTGATTATGCCCTTGCAATTTTAATATTGTAGTACTGGTGTGCAGTGATACAGGGTGAATGAGCATTCCATCACTAGAGGTATTTAAATGATAGAGTGGTCATTCCTAACCAATTGAGAAATGGACTAAACAGCCTTTAAGAGCCTTTCTTCTTAGTGAACATTTGCTTTATTTAAGAATGTTAAACCTTTTTGAAAGAATTACTTCTAACAAGGGCGCCTGGGTGGCTCAGATGGTTAAGCGTCTGCCTTCGGCTCAGGTCATGATCCCAGGGTCCT